CCAAAAGCCAAAAGGCCAAAAGATCAAAGTTAAAAGCCCCCAAAGACAAAAGGCCTAAAGCCAAAAGCCCAAGGCCAAAAGTTTGCTAGCTCAGCTGATAGCCCGGGAGGAAAAGGCCTGCTAACCTACCCAACAGCCTCATAAGGACAAGTTAAAAGCCAAAACAAACAAACAAACAAAACTCCTTCTTCATGCTATCTTAAATACCCTTCAAATCAAAGTCCTTTCTTTCTAGTTAATCGCTGACAGATGGTTTCTTGCCCTGCTTCTTGACTTAGGGTTAACTTTATTAAATCCTGTTACAGAAAACTCTTGAATTACAGGTGTGTGCTAAGGCTGACCCACACAAAACCAGAAACAAGTTTCTAAAGTTCACAGTCTAGAAGTTCACAATGGGCTCAAATATCCTGCAACATATATGCATGTTTACATATAAAATGTCTATCATTTTTTTCTTTATGTGTCTGTCTGTCTATAGAAAATCTTTATCTAAGGACTATGCCACTCAGGTTTTTCTTCTTTCTAGAAATACTAGAAGTAAATACTAAGTTCATCTAACTCTGGAGCAATGAAGATTACTTGTAAAAACTGAGAGAAGAGCTCAAAGAAGTATATAAAACACACCTGCACTTTGGAGGTCAGGAAATGGGAATCACTAAGATTATATGTATTTATTTCTATAAACATTTTTGAGGTCCAGATCTGATATGATTTTTGAGATTAGTAGAATGAGGAGAATGGAGAAGAATATATAGCCCCCTCAAAGGCATTGGTAATCTTGTTTGCAAAAGGCCAGTAGGTTGCTACCTTCTCCGGACTCCTGACACACACTTGATGCCTCATGGCCCAGCATGCAGCAGTCTTCCCTCATCACCTGCTAATGAGCTTTCACACTCCCAGACCTACTTGTGCTTTCCCTGACTTTAGGTACCCGTGTTTTACTTATGGAGGACAGTACTTGTTAACTGATGGATTTTCTTTTAAAATTGTAATATGTCACAGGATGATCTGCCAACAGCACTTGAGATATCCAGAAAAGCTACATAGAAAAAGCCAGTTTGGTTGAATTCTTTTTGGAATATATATATATATATATATATATATATATATATATATATATATAATCAACAAATGACCTTTTGACAAAAATGGATTTCATGCTATCTACTGTGCCTTCAAGTTCTTGGTAAAGTTGAAAGCTTGATTGTTAAACAGACCCCCTTTAAATTGCAAGCAATTCATTTTTTTTAAATTTGTTCTTGCAAAGTCATGTAAGTTAGCAATTTCCTTTAAAATTGGATTTATCTCCTTGGCAAACAACCTCATGATGATGATGAAGGTAGTGATTATCATTAGAATTTTTCTTGTCTACTTCTTTCAAAGACCTCCAGATCTTTTTCAAAAATTAGCAGAATTTAGAATACATTCTTTAGAGTAGCTGCTAAGGCTGGCAAGAACTTTAAACATAATGATTTCACATTGTAGGTATTAAATATGACTTCTCTGAAATCATTACATACCTATCAATTAGAAAGTTTTGCTAAAATTAACATAGCATACTAAATGAATAGCTTTTGGCAAAACTGCTCCTTAGAAAAAGCCCGAATTAAAGTACAGCTCATTCCAATTGCAGCAATCTAGGTTGGAACTGTTTGCCTACATCCATTTTCTGAACCACACCTGTCGCATTTGGAACTCAAAGTTCCTTTAAATGTTTGTTTTCTAACAAGGCACAGTTTAATCATTCAAGAGTGTGGGTGCTAAACTCATGACTATCTTTTTTTTTCAAATTTTTGACTGCTTTTAATGAGTGACATTAGATTTATAGAAGTCTATTATAACATATAAAATCCTGATTCAAATATAATTCATATACAGTATTAATAATGATATTAAGTGATCATTTCCCCTATGCTCATTATGAGACATTCCAAAGTACAAAAGAAAAATGCACAACTTTAAGTAAATTTCTAGAAAATGAATTGTATTTTGTAGTTTCTAAAACATTTCAATATACACTATTTCATTGAATTTCAATCGTTTGAGAAATTTTCTCATGAGTTAGAGAAAAATCGAAGACTTAGAGAAGCTAACAGGTTTTTCAAAACTCAAAACAGACTGTGTGTAATTGTGACGTGTAGTTGATACCAGCTGCATGTTTATCTCTCTAAGATAGGTAGGTTTGTTGGAGCATGTGTGACGTGCCCATTATGTTTCTGAAGTTCAATTAATAATACAAGTAACTCATGATCTTTCTAGAAAACCTGCACCTGCTTCCCACTCTCTGGGACTTGTGTTTGTGGTTTCTGTGCTAATCATCATTCTCAGCACCATCATCTTTTTATTGGCTTCAGTGTTGTGCAGCATCTTAAGACTGTACTGATAACTCAGGATTGTGTTAGGTGTGGTCATTGTACCAAATTAAAGTCTATGAAAAGTAATCGAACCATCAGAAAAACACTAACAAGAAAAAAAATTACAAAGTAGAGGGTTAGAGTACTTGCTAAGCAAGGGTGGAGACCTGAGTTTGAACCTTCAAAAATGACGGAATGCTGAGTGCAGTGTTGGCCCTCCGTAGTGTCAGTGCAGCAAGATCAGAGGTAGAAGCAGGAGAATCCCCTCAAGATCATGATATGATATGGCTAGCCTGTACTTACTAACTTACTATGTATTCCATGGTTGGGCACCAAGAGAATATTAACTGACTCTATTCTGAGGGGCAAAAACTAACAAATGGACGGCACTGTGAGGTTTTTAAAATAAAGATACTAAAAGAAAATATATGTAAATAATCTCAAAGTTTAATTTCTAAAAAGTTCATTATATGTAAAGATTCTCCCCAAATAAGATGTTCAATTCACTAGAAAGGTTTTTCATCTAAAAATTTCCATGGGTCTGGGTTCATAGTCTCAAATACATGTAAAGGAAGAATCAAGCAAATTGAAGAAAGGAATAGGTTTATTCTTAGAATAAACATTTACCACAGCTCTTGATAATTCCAAGTAAAATACAAATACAAACAATAAAGTATACGCATTTTAAGCAATGATACACACACACATACACACACACAAGCAAGTGATGTGTAGATGGCAGCATATAGTCCCAGGTCTAAGGAAGCTTTGTATACTCATGGTCACTGAGGGATACGTGTAAGAATGTTCAAGCATATGTGTCCAATGGCATAAAAACGCAAACCCAAATGTAGGTCAGTAGCAGCTTCATTAACTAAGTTGTAATACAGTCATGTAATAAAACACTGCATAATGAAGAAAATAAACAGAATAAAACTACCCTTAGATGACTCTAATGAATAATGTTCTAGAAATGAGAACACACACACACACATAACACAAAGGGTCCATTTCCTTAAAACTCAAAAGGCAGGCACTACTACAATATGTTGTTTAGGAGTTACAGACTTGAGTCAGAAAAAAGCCAATTGAAAAGGTGAGATGGTGGTGCACGAAGAGGTCTAAGATTTGGACAGTGCATGAGGAGACCTAGCACTGCATGCCTGGTTTTACTCACTCCTGTGTACTGGTGTCATAAATATTTACTTTAGTGTGTAAAGCCAGAAAAATACATTTTATGCATTTTCTTGATGTGAGAAATGTCCACACTTGAAGGTTTTTTAAAACATATGCTGAGACTTATGGCCAACTGATGGGCAGAGTACAGAGAATCTTATGAAAGAAGTGGGAAATAGTAAGATCTGGAGAGGACAGGAGCCCCACAAGGAGAGCAACAGAACCAGAAAATTTGAACACAGGGGTCTTTCCAGAGACTCATACTCCAACCAAAGACCATGCATGGAGATAACCTAGAACCCCTGCACAGATGTAGCCCATGGCAGTTTAGTGTCCAAGTGGATTACATAGTAATGGGAAGAGGGACTGTCTCTGACATAATCTGATTGACCTGCTCTTTGTTCACCTCCCCCTGAGGGGAGAACAGTCTTACCAGGGAGAACAGGAAGGAGAGGAGGACCTCTCCTATCAGTGGACTTGGGGAGGGGCATGCGTGAAGAACAGGGAGGGAAGGTGGGATTAGGAGGGGAGGAAGGAGGGGTTTATGGGGGGATACAAAGTGAATAAAGTGTAATTAATAAAAGTTAAAAAAACAAATATGACAAGAAAGAAGTTTGAAATCACTCTTTGAGAGATGAGGAAATCAAAAGAAAAATGGAGGAGAAAGGAGATATTTCTGTTTTGGGGTAAAGTCAGATACAAAGGTTGATATTGTTTCCTGATTAAATGGAGTTCTTCAAATAAATCAAAGAATTCTTGATGCAAAAGGAAAATAAAAGCCAAGTGGTTAGAACAGAAACCAAGCAATAGTCTGCCTTCTTTTAAAAGTGGACCTTAGCTCTCCACTGAAAAGGGTTAATAACATTTACTCTGTTGGGATTTGGAAACAATAATAAGCATACAGGTTGAAGTCGGAGGTTGATGGCCTAATTGGGCTTTGTGTTTTCTTTCAAGAGTTTGAAAAGTATTCCTAAGAATTAAATTTCATTCCTTAAAACTAAAACCAGTAGTATCACTTAAAAACAAACAAAAACATTACATTTCTGGGTTTTCTAGGAAACATAAAATCTGGTCAGGCTTGACGTCATTATTATTCGACAAAGTAAGCCAGCACAGGGTAGAACATGTTCCCATTAACAGGAGTGTGAGTTCTGCAGGTTCACCATCACACCCTCCTAGACCTTCTCTTGACCTTTAGTCTCCTGCATTTCCAAGGTAGCTCAGCACTGAAATGAATCTAAGTATTGTCTCACTTCTTTCATGATTTCGAGGACTTGCTGACTAAATCTCTTAACTTTCTATTTCTTTCAGAAAAAAAAAATCCCTTACGTACTAATAATTTCTGAAAGGCGTGCATTTTCATAGCATGATTGTGATGATCACATAAATGTTGCAGTGTGCCATGGTAATCATCGTACCACGTAAATAGCAGGGCTGCTGACAAGAAGTGTGCCCACAGGCACTGCTTACCATGTGGGAGATGGCCATTGAGGCCTGCTGCCAGGTGTCCAGTACTATCTTCTCGTCTACCTCCAGGTTAAATTCCAAAGCTTCCAGTGGGGGGTCGAGCTTGTCCTTCAGTAATGCTTTCAGCTTTGGTCTGATGGTAGCATTTTCTGGAGAACTGGATATTCGAGGAACTAGAGGAATTCTTTGGGGTGAAAAAATAAAAAACAGAGAAACATAAGAGTTTCATTTAAGAGAATTCTATTTTTGTGACAGTATTGGTTTGTTCCTTTTGTTGGTTTTGTTGCTTTAATTCACATTTCCAAAGTTTTCCTAGAAAAATTGTTTTGAAGGGAATATGATTAGAAAGTGCAGCATTCACAACTGTATGGTCTACAAAATCTTGCTAATAATAGAAAGCTCACAGCAATAACAAGATATTTTTTTCAGGTTTTGCTCTCAATAATTAAAATAGGAGTATTAGATAATGAAGAAAGATTATTTTTTGTCACATTTCCATGGCACATACTTCTCATGAAAGAAATCAGTATGGACAAAGTAAACCTCGTGAAATTAATTCAAAATGGTCGCTATCACTCGGCACCCTGACGTGAATATGAGACCAACACAAATCTGACTGGGGCTCCTGATCAGAGATGACGACGTTATGGGTGGCTGCCAAAGTGAAGCTTCAGAAAGCCTCCCCTTTCTCATTTATGGAGGGTGGGGGTTCTCTCTTCATCAAGTGCTGTGGCGAAATACAGGAGTGAGGCTTGTTCTCCGCTTTCTCAATATCGTTTCTTTCTAAAGTGAAGATTTTAGAACGATCTTTGAGAATATGATATTTCTTTCTTTATTTATTTATAAATTACAGGTTATTCACTTTGTATCCCAGCTGTAGCTCCCTCTATCGTCCCCTCCCAATCTTACCCACCCTTCCTCATCTCCTCCCTTGACCCTCCCCAAGTCAACTGATAGGGGAGGTCCTCCTCCCCTTCCATCTGACCTTAGCCTATCAGATCTCATCAGGACTGGCTGCATTGTCTTGTCTGTAGCCTATTAAGGCTGCTCTCCATTAGGGGGAGGTGATAAAAAAGCCATCCACTGAGTTTATGTCAGAGATAGCCCCTGTTCCCATTACTAGGGTACCCACTTAAAGACTGAGCTGCCCTGGGCTACACTTGTGCAGGGGTTCTAGGTTATCTCCATGCCTGGTTCTTGGTTGGAGTATCAGTCTCAGAAAAGACCCCTGTGCCCAGAGTTTTTGGTGCTGTTTTCCTTCAGAAGAAGGTGAAAACAAGAAACAAGACAGGAGCCTACCACAGAGGGCCTCAGAAAGACTCTATTCAGAAGGCTTTTAAAGCAGATGCTGAGACTCATAGCCAAACTATGGGCAGAGTGCAGGAAATCTTATGAAAGAAGGGGGAGATAGAAAGACCTAGAAGTTAAAGAAATTTTATCTGATGCTTCCAAATAAGAAACAAAGCCAGTTTTTTTTTTCTTGAGTTCACAATTATCTTCCTAAATTACTGTTCCAGACCCAGCTTCTTGACTGTGTAAGAACAACTGTTGCTCTACTACTTACCAGCCCGCAGAGGAAGACTATGAAAGACAGTCCTGATGGTACCTGATAGGCTAGGCTCAGATGGAAGGGGAGGAGGTCCTCCCCTATGAGGACTGGAGAAGGGGCATGGAAGGAGATGAGGGAGGGAAGAAGGAAGGGTGGGATTGGAGGGGATGAGGGTGGAGGCTACAGCTGGGATACAAAGTTAATAAATTGTAATAAATAAAAAGATATTAAAAATAATAAATAAATAAATTTCTTTAACTTTACATGTTGATTTTCACAGTGTGTGGTGTTTTGAATGAAAATGTTTCTCATAGGTTCATATAATTAAATGTTTAGTCCTTAGTTGATGAACTGTTTGAGAAGGATTTAGGAGTTATGGCTTTGGTTGTTGGAGTACTTATGGCTTTGTTGTAGGTGGTGGTTTCAAAAACCCATGTCATGTCCAATGTTTCTCTGCATGCTTCTTGGCAGATCAGGGTGTAAATCTCTCAGCTACTGTCCATACCCAACAGGATGATCATGTAATCAAGCTCACAATTTAATGTTTTTCTTTTATGTTTTGGTCATAATATATTGTCACAGCAGTAGAGCAGTAACTATGACCTAGGACTTGGAATTCTGATGACCTGTCATAATTTTACATGTAATGCATGAAAAAAAAACCTCACACATTGAATTATATCTTAATTATATCATAATAAAAAAATTACTGCTAAATCAAAGCCATTCAAGTTCCAAGATTATCTATGTGATCATTACTATACATTTTACATAGCATAACTTTTGCTTTTCGGGACAATAGACATTTAGAAAAAGGCTTAGGGTTTATGACCCACTGATTTTTTTTAACCAGGATCATCTATCTGTTTGGCCATGGGCTTGGAGACTTACTGTTTATCACACTGCTGAATTCAATGACTGAACTCAATGGCCTAGAATCCATCAGTTGCCAACAGTTCAGCCAAAAGGTAAGATATTACAGGCATCTACTCTACCCATGATTGGCTGTTTTCAGGTCCAGTCTTATTCAGACCTGGTACAGGCAACTGCCACTCCTGTGGGGTTAGGTTTGAAATAGCGTATCATGTCCTGATGGTAGCACTTGTAGCCATTCTATCTCCTGCCTCTTATACTCTTTCCATTCAGCCCTGCTGTAATGTTCCCTGAGCCTTAGATGGTGTGGTATAAACGTCATGCTACAGGTTGAGTCTTATTTATTTGAAGCATCTTAATTGCCAGGGAGTCTCTGCATGCACTGGGAGGAGGACTGACTGTTGTGTGAGGGGGAGGAGAGGCGGAGAGTGATAGTAACCAGATCTACAGGCATGTGAAATTGCCCCAAAACAATTTTAATTAGTTAAAATACAAAGAAGGTGTGGAAATGAGAATAAACATAAATACATAATAACTCTATGTTAAAATTATAAGTAGTTGAAAATGAGCTTAGAAGTCGTTTATTCGGGAAAATCCCTCTAGTGTTGGTAGTCCTGTCACTACCTGAAGATATGAAATTAGGAGTGCTAATTGACTTTATGAGTTCAATTCTTGGAATAATATAAAACATTATTATTGTTGTCATCATAAATAATTTTTAATCAATGAATATAACTATTGCTATGAAAATATTATATTGCTACCATTACTATTATTACAGGGTTGTTAGAAGGAAGGAAGTAGGAAAACTATGTAAAGCTGCTTAAAATCATGCTTTACTTTTTGCAGCATGTTATAGATTGTGGTTGATTGGTTGGTGGACTGACTGGGTGTCCCAGCAGTTTTGCCACAGCAATGATTTAAGGTTGAGATTGGTACAAAGTTTCCCTGCAAAAAATAGGAACTGTCTGTTCTTCTATGATCTTATTGCACAAAGCAACATTAACAGCTTCCCCATTATGCCTGGTTTGCTATTATGTGCTAAGAACTGAATGCCCTGCCACTCTAGATACTGAAACGTGGTCTCTTTTGGTGATTCTGATAGTTCTTACTGCTGTTGGTCTTCATTATTGCTTTTAATTTCAACGTTTTCTTAGCATCTTGCTCAATGCTTTTCTTGTGTTTGGGACCAGAAGAGAGTACATGCTCATCTGTTTGTGTATTCTTGTGTATATATGGGTCTGGCAAAAATAGGATAATATTAAGTGGGAGAATATAAGAGTGAAGAAATGAACCTTGGATCATTGCATAACTTAATTATCTCAAATTATTTTTTAGAAAAAGAAAGGGCTAAACAATGTGATAGCATGAAATTTTCACAATTAAAATATTAAATATATGCAAAAGTAGGCTATTATATATTATCCATTAACAACAGAAACCATCCTTTATTGAAAGTTTGGGACTAGATGTAAAGAGTTTCAACTTGCAGACATGGCCCCATATACTTTGTAGATTCTATTTTCTATAATTCTCACAAAAAACCCTCTTTAACTAGAATGGAGGGTGAGGCTTACGTTGAATTGTAGTGGCTTGACAGACAAGCAAGTTATCTTACCCTACTTAGATATAACAGTCAGTAAGTGATAGACTCAGGATTTAAACTAGACCTATCTGGTTTCTAAATATATTCATTATGCTATATTTTGCTTATGCAACTCTTACATCTATGTTGACTGAGCAAGCCCTAGGCAAAATCTTTCCTTTAAATATAAAACACATAGCTCATGTTGTTGGAGGTTCAAACATACCGTCCAGTGTCTGCATGTTGTTTGTAAATCTAAGTTCTGCTAGTGCTTCCATCGTTACGCGCAGATGTAACGATGCCTTGCTTAATGCCTTGCTTAATGATCACAAGGAAATATTATTTTAACTTTTTCTTACATTTTAAATTTTATTTTCAAATAATACATTTACTTCTAAATGATTTTGAACTCTGTTTTCAAGTGCTTTATCGTAAGTCACATAAATTAAGTAAAACCGTAGCTTAGAGTTCAGTGGCTTGATGTCACGCTAAGGGACCACTGCCACTTCCCTCGCCCCACTCTTTCATGATGACATCTTCTTCATTTCTTCTTTTTAACTTTTATTAATTACACTTTATTCACTTTGTATCCTCCCCTCCCAATCCCGCCTTCCCTCCCCCTTCTTCACAGTTACAGCGTAACAAGGTGACACAGTGTTAACAGTCATCCGCCTTACCTGAGCTGGCTTTCTGAAATTTCTTTACCATCCAGCTGAACTAACGGTATTCGAGTAAATTTCCTAGTGTCTTCTAGTGGGATTTTGGATTCCATTGCTCTGTAATAATCTTGAAGGAGTCTTTTTGTGTCTTGGAAACGGTTCACTTCTGCCTTTAATAGAGAAAGTAGATATCAATACCTAAATAAGAACAGCCCAATCTGTATGTATTTCTGTAATATATGTGTATACCAGAACTGTTTTTTTTTTCTTTTTTTTTTGTTTGCTTTTTGTTTTTTTGAGACAAGGCTTCTCTGGGTAGCCTTGGCTGTCATGGACTGAACTTTGTAGACCAGGCTGGCCTCAAACTCAAAGTGATCTGCCTGCCCCTTCTCCCCAGAGTTCTGGGATTAAAGGCATGCGCCACCACACCCAGCCCGTAAACAGAATTTTTAAGACAGGTTGGTTGAAACTAACTTTCTAGAAATTCAGAAAGACCTGTAGTTGTCTCTCTGTCCCTAACGTTTCCATAACTGAAGAAAGCAAGTGACTTTGCATTATAGGTGTTACTGAGTGCGATTCCGCTTAACCAGGTGACTGTGTTATGCTTTTTAATAATTACTCTTAGAGATTCTTCAATTAACCATTGAAGTGACTTCTTTGTCTTAGTAATAATTCAATCATCGTGAGGTGCTGCACACACTCTCCATGCAAGAACAAAATAAAACCAACACCAAGCTCTGTTCCCCTGGTACAGTATGAACTGTTTGTGGAAACATGACACACAACAGCAGAAAGGAAAACAGTAATTCTCCCAGTACATTTCCTTTCTTGAGTAACATGAACAGGGTAGACACAACTCAGAACTTCTCAGTCCTCTCTGCTTTAATTCTTTGTTGGAGTTGCTAGAAGAGACTTTGAAGGAAGCAGAGCAGTGGACTTTGAAATGGCCAGGTAATCTACCAATTTTCTTTTCTTTATCATTGAGTTAAAATATTCATACACAGAATAATACCACAGTTTAAAGAAAAGTGCTGGCCGTATGTCATGTTTAGGTTCGTAAAAGTTAAGAGGAAATGTTTTGACTGTATCACACTCATGGGAACTTGCCCAACACCATATTTACAGGGAATACGATGCAAATATAAACTTACTCTGGACATGTTGAGTATTGACAATTAGCTTTGGGAAATTAAAGTGTTCATTTGTGGGGGTGGTTAAAAAGGCTATTTATCATTGAATCAATGGATGTATTACTGGACAAAGTCAGAAACCTAGAAGGTGTTTTTGTTTGTTTGTTTTTTTTTAAGCCTAGAATACAGTTTATAGACCTTAGTTTATAAACTGTGCTAGAATCTGTCCCTAAGATTTACATTATTACAGTATTTTTTAAATAAAATATTAATCATTTTAAAGGGATACAACTTGATTCAAAATATAAAGGAATTTAAATAGGATACCATACCGTATTAAAAAATCTTCTCTAAGAAAACTTAATCATGACTCCTCTTATATTTATAATAACAACAAGTAAATAACACTCTGTTGTGTGACTTCTTTACCGTTGGGGTTTCAGATTTTACTTTTCTTTTTGTGTGGTATTCTGGATTGAATGTAGGGGTTCCAGCATTCTAAATAAGTACTTTATGGCAGAGCCATCTACAACCTTCTTATTTCTTTTTCTTTGAGATGGTGTCTTATTATGTTGTCTAGGTTAACCATGAACTCACTTGTTTGAAAGAAGCCTTTTTAAACTTTACTGTGTGGAGAACTTGTTGCAGAGGCTATTCACAAACAAGACAAATGAAACAATGACAAACAAGACAAACTTCCAAGGTCAAGCCATTTTAGAAACTCAACATTAGTGAGCCAAAACGATTCCTTTACTTGTGGAAGATCTTAGTGCCTAAATATGTCAACAGACTTGTCGAGGTACCAGGGAGATGGATAGGTGGAGTTATGTAGCACTATCCAAAGTCACTTATTACAACTTTTCCCGGAAGTGTTTGGAAGGTAAATTTCCATGGGATCCATTTCGGGAAGCAATTATCTGTCTGTTTGTGAGCTAACACAGGCCACTGAAGATTTTCCCGAGTCTTGTTACCTTCAGTCCTTGACAGACAGTAAGGCTTTTGATTTTGGGTTTCCTGGACAAAATGCAGCCTCCTTCAAGGGTCTATTATGTGAGGGGTAGTCCCATCGCCATGTTCTTCCTCCATGTGCTGAACTGAAAGTTACTCCCCAGCATGTTCATTGCTGGCTTTTATGGGGTTTACTGAGCAGCGCCGAACAAAGTTGTCTGTGTCCTAACTGTGAAACTGAGCTATTTGGACAATGTTGTTGACATAGAAGTGTTCTGGAAGGACTATTGACTCTAAATCCTTGCTACTTCTTTCCCTTGCTAGATGGAAGGATTGGACCAATGGTTCCATCCCAGTTTTTCTGAGTTTTCTTATCTATGAAATGAGGATGACAATAGGCCCTTCAGCATGATGCTGTTGTGATAGTTGACTGTACTCTACTGGAAATTTCTGAGAGTAGTACCTGGCATGCACTCTGCGGTTTTGTTTTATTTCATCAGATGTGGACATTGGTTTAATACCTTAAGAACCCCAGCTCTATGTATTAATGCACTGGTAATGGCATACCTATTCATACCATTTATGGCTCTGAGTCATGAAAATGACTCATTAAAGTCTGCCGTGCCCTTATTATTGGGTTGCAGCTGCTTCTTCCATAAGCACTTGGTAAAACCTGTTCACAATATTTTCTCTGAAGTTGTTCAAAATGATACCCTGAGCTCTGCTCACATGAGTTTAGGCTAGTTGGGCACTTTCCTTAGTCCTATGTGTAAATTACGCATTATGGAGCTAAGCATATTCCTTAAAATGCTTAACAATGTGGTTAATAATATCTCAGAATTGTTCTTTGGTTGAAACTCTTTTAAATCTATCTTATCATCACAATCCAGGTTTGTAACATGCCTTCCTAGCTTTTCTTGTCCTGATGTTCTGCTTCCATTAATCCTTCAATATGGATATAGTATAGTTCTTCATCAATAGGGAGTACACTTTAAGTCATTATTTAATACTTGACCAATACCTTTGTTCTTATGTATTTACACCCATTTGCAGAAGTCTGAATTAGGCACACCAAGAATTTATAATAGAATATTGATAACAACCTACTATAATAGAAGTGGCTGGTATGAAATATATTCTCTCAAAGAATCTGTTTTACTATATTTCATTTTTGTGTGGATATACAAGTATTACAATGGCCATACCACAAAAGACCATGAAGTGAATTGTGTAAGCCTCATGATACACCATTAGACTCCAATATAAGGGCTACTTGAACAAAAGCACTTCAGAACCACAGTGTATGATCTAACAGCCTGGAGAACTGTTAAGCAAATAATGGGCAGGGGGAATATACAGTCAGTGCTGATTCAATGAAAAGCAGAAATTTTTCATCCCAGGTGAGATGAAACAGAATGTACTGTAAATTGGAACAGCAAAATATTTACCTCATCGTCACGGACACAAAACACAGCTTTGCCCTAAAGAATATGAGAGACAGTTTATTCTAAGCCAAATGGGGGTAGATGGTGCGGGAACATGGATTTAGGTTGTTCTAAACCACATGTTTCATTGTGGAAGAAGTTTCAGAAGTTAAATTAATTAATTAGCGTCTTCCAAACAAATTGGTGGTAGCATCAGTAGCTGAGTTATAGTTTAACAAAAAAGCAAAACAAAAACAAGTTAGTAAGGTGAGGCTATTATAATTCCTGAGGTTTTCCTGTTCTTCAGGTTTCTGTTGACTTTTCAGACCTGCCCTTGGATCTCATATTGTCCCAGTGAAGGCTGAAACTATTAGAATTGCTGGGTCATCTGTTCAAAAGAGATCTGCCAAACACCTATGATATTTCAGTCATACCACCAAAGATATTTCATCATTTCCTAACATACCTTCTAGGTTAATCAATTATAGGCGAGAAATAGCTCTCTTCTCATACTCTCTATGAATTACTAGTCTGTCAACAAAAATTAAATAAGCATAGCTTGACCAAGATAGGCCTGATAGTCTCCTACAGGTGAATAATTTTAGACAGAGTTCTTCCAGACCCTCAGCCCCTTGGCCTCCCTCAGTGCTTAAGGAAACTAGTTCTTTGTAAACCTTTCTCTGTGTGCTTGAAATATCCTTTTTTTTTTTGAGACAGTTTCTTTGTGTAGCCTTGGCTGTCCTGGACTTGCTTTGTAGACCAGGCTGGCCTTAAACTCACAGAGATCTGCCTGCCTCCGCCTTCCTGAATGCTGGGATTACAGGTGTGTGCCACCACACCCAGGTTTGAAATAGACACTTTAAAACAAGCCTTTTATCAGTTGCGTGAAGCAGGAATGCCTCCCTCAAGATCTGAAAATCATCTCTTTGAAGATTTCATTTATTACTTCTCAAGGGAGACAGCATTTCAAAGCTCCTCTATGAGGGAAGGAAACTAACATCTTACCTACACGAGTATTGAGCAGGTGCACACGTTATGGCACACAGATTACATTCAATTAAAAGTTTAAAACATTACAGATCAGGCACAACTGACTTCACTCTTCATCCAGCGTAAACCCTTGAGCTTTCAAAACCTGTAGCTAGAGGCATTTTGTCCTGAGAAATCTATCAGTTAAAGGCTGGTCTGTTCTTTCTCTCCCGGTCACAGCACTGGTCCCCAGGGCAGATTTCCCTGTCTAATGTGGCCAGTTTTAAGAATCTGAGAGTCTGATCAGGTAAGCACCCCAGTTGCAGACAGCGTTTTTGCATTCTCTCAGAACATATTAGGGACACAGGGATGATGAGTAGCTGCGTAAGTAAGATGCAATGTCTGTGTGGTTCCTTCATTGGGATAAAAATAAATAAAACAATTTTTGTTACCTGATTTTTTTTCTTGGCAAGCCAGAATGCATACCAGGCAGAGAATGTATGCAACTCAGGATGTTGTGAGCAAAATGATCCTTAAGCAGACCCCTAACACTCCCGAAGGAGTTGTCCCATGAGGAATACAGCTGAAAAGGGAGTCTGTGTCACTGTGTCTGGCTTTCCCTACCTGCATCAGGGAAAAGAAGTGATTCATTGTTATTCCGACAAAGTCCTGCAGCCAGTTGTCATTAATGATGTCAAGTCTCTCTTGCTCTGCCTCTTCCTTTCTGGCTTCACAGATGTCCCACAGGCGGTCTTGTAGGTCCTGAGTGGAAAGAGAAACAAGTGTGGCTGTGCCTGAGAAGCGTACCTTGTACAGCTTCAGTGTCATGCGACCGAAATTGCTCGCCTCTGGAGATGTCCCCGAAGAGGCCACGCCTACCAAGTCTGTATGTTATATTCATTTATTCAGATGGTGACCACATCTTTTGTTCTCTCCGGTCAGATGCCCATAATTCTCACAGATTCGTTCACATCAGTGTAGTTCTAGTTCAGTGTTAGTTTCTTTGTTAATATTTTTGTTTGGTTGAAAATCACTTTTTTTTAGCGTTAAAAAATTCATTTATTATTTATTGCAATTACTCACTTTGTATCCTGGCTGTAGCCCCCTCCCTCATCTCTTCCCAATCCTACCCTCCCTCCCTCTTCTACCCCTATGCCCCTCCCCTAGTCTGCTGATAGAGGAGGTCCTCCTCCCCTACTGACCTTAGCCTAACAGATCTCATCAGGACTGGGTGCATGATCTTCCTCTGTGGCCTGGCACGGCTGCCCCCGCAGGGGTTGGTGATCAAAGGGCAGGCCAGTGAGTCCATGTTAGAGACATCCCTGCTCCCCTTACTAGGGGACCCATTTGGATACTGAGCTGCCATGGGCTACATCTGAGCAGGGGTTTAGGTCTCTCCATTCAGAGAAACACTTCAAAAATGCTCAACATCCTTAGTCATCAGGGAAATGCAAACAAAAATGACCCTGAGAATTCACCTTACACCCATCAGAATGACTAGGATCAAAACCTCAAGTGACAATATATGCTGTAGAGGATGTGGAGAAAGGGGAATCCTCCTTCATTGCTGGTGGGAATGTAAGCTTCTAAAACTTTGGAAATCAATCTGGCACTTTCTCAGAAAATTAGAAATATTGCTACCTCAATATCCAGCTATACCTCTCCTAGCCATATATCAAAAAGATGCTAATCCATACAACAAGGACATTTGCTCAACTATGCTCATAGCAGCTTTATTTGTAATAGCCAGAATCTGGAAACAACCTGGATGTTCCTCAACAGAGAAATGGATACAGAAATTGTGGTACATTTACATAATGGAATACTACTCCACAACTAAAAACAAGGAAAATAATGAAATTGGCAGGTAAATGGATGGAACTAGAAAAGATTATCCTGAGTGAGGTATCCCAGAAGCAGAAAGGCACACATGGTATATACTCACTTATAAGTGGATATTAGCTATATGATATAGGATAAACATATTAAAATCTATAGTCCTAAAGAAGGCAAACAGCAAGGAGGACCCTAGGGAAGATACTAAATCCTCATTCAGAAGTGCAAACAGGATAGACATCAGAAGTAGGAGAAGACAGGGAACAGGGAAAAAGGCTACCACAGAAGGCCTCTGAAAGAATATACTCATCAGGGTATCAAAGCAGATGCTGACGGTCATTTTGATTTGCATTTCTCTGATGACTAAGGACATTGAACATTTCTTTAAGTGTTTCTCTGCCATTCGATATTCCTCTGTTGAGACTTCTCTGTTTAGCTTTGTATGCCATTTTTTAAATTGGTTTACTTGACTTTTTGCTGTTTAACTTCTTGAGTTCTTTATATATTCTGGATATTAGCCTTCTTTTAGATACAGGGTTGGTGAAGATCTTTTCCCAATCTGTAGGCAGTCTGCTCTTTGATCATCTCCCTTTCAGGGGAGTGCAGCCTTACGAGGTCACCAAGGAAGACAATGTAGCCACTCCTGATGAGACCTGATAGACTAGGATCAGATGGAAGGGGAGGAGGACCTCCCCTATTAGTGAACTAGGGGAGAGGCACAGGTGGAGAAGAGGGATGAAGGATGGGATTGGGAAGGGAAGAGAGAGGGAGCTACAAGTGGAATTCAAAGGGAATAAACTATAATTAATAAAACTAAAAATAAAATAATTCTAGACTGTAAAACAAACAAACAAAAAACAAAGCAGATAAACAAAACTTGGGCAGCATTCAGGGAATTTCATGGAAGAAGAGGGAAATAGAAAGACCTGGAAGGGACAGGAGCTACACAAGGAGAGCAACAGAACCACAAAATCTAGACCATGGGGGCCTGCAGATACCGATGCTCCAATGAAGGACCATGCACAAAAATCACTTTTAAAAACAAAACAGAACAGAACAAAACAAAACAAAACAAAACAAAACAAAACAAAACAAAACTGTGTATTGTTGGTGGAAAAAAAATACTGTTGAATTTGAACCAAGGCCATGAATTTGTTACCTATTACAGATAGCATTTTTTTTATTTACCAGAAAAATGTGCGTAATGGGATGATCAACAACAGCTTAGTAGCATTCCAGACTATGAACAGTAAGGAAGAATATGAATAGGTTAGTATATAACATAACATTTACGTATAGTAATAGGCCTATAGCAAGGGTATTCATGGAATATTTAATTTGTTTTATAATTTATATATAAGTATGCCAACATTATAGTGGCACTGCATATTGAGTTCTTCTTAAATGTGTCATTGACATATTTTATCACCCACCAAATGCTTGTAATCAACATTAGGTAGCTCATTATCTTTATTTTTATAAGCGGACACAGGGTTAGAGGAAAGGCATTTCCCTTGGGTGAGTAAATGACAAGCTAGGATGTGAATCTTTGGGCTTGAGTAATGTGAAGTACTAAGTTATGCTTCAGAATTGATGGTAGAAAGAGTAGAATTCAAGACAGAAAGCACGTTCGGGGTTGTATGGCCATTACACTCTTTTTAGGAGTAGATGGCTTGCGATGCACTTTGTCATTCTGTCTCCATGGGTTCAATGCTTCCTTGGAGAAGCAGTTTAGTGGGGAGTTGAGATGCTTGGAGATAGATACCTATGCTGCCACTTAGCAGGCTCGTGTCTTTGTCACATTTCTTTACCTAGGAAATGCGGTTGTTACTGATGAGTATGTAGGTTCATTGTTATGTGGATAAAATAAGAAGGTGCCAGCAACTAGTGAGTGCTAGGTATCTGGAAATGACTGCTGCTGCATTATACAGTCAGGGTGTCAAAATCTGCAAGGGCTCTTCGCCCCCCCCCCCCCCTCTGAGGGAGGAGCAGCCTTGCCAGGCCACAGAGGAAGACATTGCAGTCAGTCCTGATGAGACCTGTTAAGTTAGGGTCAGATGGAAGGGGAGAAGGACCTCCCCTATCAGTGGACTTAGAGAGGGGCGTGGGAGGAGATGAAGGAGGGAAGGTAGGATTGGGAAGGAATAAGGGAAGGGGCTACAGCTGGGATACAAAGAGAATAAAATGTAATTAATATAAAAAATAAAAAATAATCATTTAACCTTAAATAATCTGCAAGGGAAGGTGAAAGAAGCAACTTAGTTAAGGTAGTTTTAAAGTTTCATTTTCAAGATCATCCGTGCATAAAACACAGAAGTATGAAAGGATAGAGCTGGCTTTTCAACCAACATTACCTGTACCACTTTGAAGATATGGATGGGAAGCCTGGTGTGGTAATACATGCCTTCAGTCCAGCACTTGGGAGGCAGAGGCTCTGACTTTGAGGCTTGCTATCTTAAGGATACCAAGGGCTATATAGAGAAACCTTGCCGAGAGAGAGAGAGAGGAAGAGAGAGAGAGAGGGAGAAAGAGATTGGCCTTATCCCAAACCTAACTTTAATTGTTTATAGGCATGAAAGGAAGGCAAGGTTTGTTTAGGCATCACAATTTTCTCTACTGTAAACTCCTGCTGAGGATTCACAGTTTATAAAGTCCTACAGCAGTTTTGAAAAGATTTATTAAGGCCAAACATGCTGAATCTTTCAATTAGAAACCATACTTTGTTCCTAGCATCCATGGATATATCCTTATAACAAAAGTTTACTCAGAAGAATAAGTGTTGGCATGTCCCTTCCTTGCTGTTCTTGTCAGCAATGTGTTTGCTTGTATATGGGTTGAATTTTAGTTTTGATGTTTAATTTTCTTATTGGCTAAGTAGTCAAGTTATGTTTTTATTTCTCATTAATTCCTCCCTCCTTTTTCAAGTATAATTTCTGTATTTTGAAACTATATCTATCTATATTCTTTCATGTATGTAAAGAAAAATTAAACAAAGTAAATAAACTCACTGAGCGTACACATGTATATTGTATGTAACCCAGTACTGACGTCTTTGAGGTTCATCTTAAAATATTCGTCTAGTTTTTTGTAAACAATAAAATGAGACCCCTATCATAGTTATATATTTTAAATATTTAAAAATAAAACGTGAAGCTGTGAAAAATAGTAAAAATAATGGTGAAGTTACATTTAACGCTAGGTCAGAGTATTTTTAAGTTGACCATTAAAGACAATATAATTGAAATTTCTGTATTTACTTACAAAAATATTGAAAAATTTCTGCATAAAAACTCACTTCAAATAAGTAAACATCAAACTAGGAATATATTTATAATATGAATGAATAGTATTTATTTACAATATATAAAGAAGATAAGCTAATAAATAATTAAAAGAGCACTGTTCAGCACAGAAGTAGAGGAATTACAGTCAATGATTCAGAAGAAATAAAATAAATGATCATTAAACAGGAAAGAATGGCTAACTTCAAATGCAAAAAAAAGAAATGCAAATTTTAAGAAAACATTTATATTTTTACGCATTAAGTTGGCAGAAATTAAAATATAAAACAAATTTAATATCAGATATATTCATATAACCTGTTACTTCAAGTAAAATTGAGTTCCTGTAAATTTTTAAATTAAATTGAAAATAGAAATTTTTAGGTTTTCAATGTTTCAAAGATCTTAAATGTAGGCATAATCTTTCACTTAATTATTTTAAATTTTTATTTATAGTCTTATAAATTAAACCCCAAACTGTTAATTATTAATGACATCAGTATTATGTAGCTGGTTGAAATATTATGGTAAAGCCTGTGGAGACTGAAGAATCAACAAAGGACCATGAATGGACTGGACCTAGGCCTCTTAACAAAGGTAGCTAATGAGCACCTCAGTCCACATATGGGTTCCCTAGTAAGGGGA